GCTCACACCACCGGTATATGGTCGACTCTGTGTTTGCATATTATTTTGTCGGTTAACGGTTATTATTACAATATGTGTAGGAAGAAACCGGAGAAGCGCCTTCAGAACACCGTCAAAGGCTTCTGGGAACGCTGTAATTAGAAAATAATTAAACGGCCCAACCCGTTGCCAAGATACCGTTTCGAATTTAACCCGTGCACAGGATAGTGTGAAATATAAAGAAAAAATATTAGGTATAATAATAATTAACAACAGGCGCTAGTCGATTAGAAAATAATGTATGTATGTATGTATTAATTGCATTGCCTAGGTCAGGACCTTGACGGCACGAGTTGGTCGCAATTGCCAACCGACGATTATGTGTGTAATTGTTGTTGGGTGTACTTGTGTAACGAGTATTATTTGGCTAATTAAGTTTTTAAGTATCCAGGAAGGCGGAATTTTTTGTCGGTGTTTGTGTGTTTGTTTTACCTTGACTTGACACAATCAACATATATTAGTCGTAGAGAAGAGCCCGTCATATTGTTGTTGTGCCGTTAACAACTCGAAATTAGTTTTAATTATAGATTTCCACGATCAACGAGGTCCGATTGTGTTGTTATCATCATCATTGTACGATGACGACGTCTCCGACTGGTGTGTATTTTATTGTCATTTTCGGAATTAAATTCTTCACACACACACACACAATAATAATTGCTGTTAACGTCTAGACCGTTACTGAGGTACTTTCACTCGGTCGGCAGAGCTGTGTTTTCCCGCCAAAACGAGATCCCTGTTCGTCTTTTTTTAGGTTTGTCACGTTTATTGGTGCGCTTAGAGAATTCGGTGCAAGTGCCATGGTATAAGAAGAAGCTCTGGGTGGTTGGGTGGTTTACATTGTGTAACCTTATAGTGGTCGCAATCATGCGGGTCCAATCGATTTTAGCCGAAAGATTAGGTACACCGACACACGTGTGTGTACTACACGATGATGAACGATATATAGAAACTCTATATTGGTTTTGTATAGCCAGGGGGTCGTGTCTACGGAGAGGGTTTAATTTCAGTGCTCTCTTAGCTTGAAGAAAAAAAAAATACCATATTAATGATAATAATATCCACGGATATATATATATTACAACTAGATAGCCGACTTCCTATAATAACAGTGTCGAACATTGAAGTCGGGAAAATGGCCGACTTTTCTTATCAAAGAGCCCCTTGTTTACATATTTGTAGGCTATAAAATCGAAATAACGTTTTGGAAATTGAAATTGGGTTATCGGAAGGCGACAATTTATTCATACATTTTATATTTTAATGCTAGTGGTTTCATTTTATTATACTTATACATACTTTGTAATAGTGTAATTACCAAATTTTCTATTTTACTGTTAGTGATTTCAATTTATTATACTTAAATACATCATTTGTAATATTCATATGTTTTAATTACCAAAGTTTCTATTTTACTGTTAGTTATTTCAAATTGTTTTTTTAATCGTTAAATAAATTAAGTTTTTCTTTTAATTTTTAACATTTTAGGTAGTTTAAAAAAAAAATTATTCAGAAGTAAAAACTTTGGTACATTGGTAATATGCAAGAGCGAAACTTTTATGAGTTTTGTACAATAAAAACCTACCTATTATATCATTATAGTAAGTCAAATGTACTGAATTAAAATTTCTTAAAACTAATTTTACTATGATAATTTATAATGAAACTCTTCATTATCATTACTCATAATGTAAACAATGGGCTCTTTGATACGAAAAGTCGGCAATTTACCTGACTTCAACATTAATTCTTAGTCGGCTATCTAGTTGTAATATATATCTGTGATAATATCACAGAGTAGATGAAAGCAGAAGGGTCACTTTTAAAGTAAACAAAAACGTGACGGCTATGTTGAAAGGGCACACAACGACCGTACCCTTACATTTTCTTATCTATTTAGTACTATCAGTTTAAAATATTGATATTACGGTTTGTATTTTATAAAATATATTTGTTTAAATTAGTTATAACTTAAGTTTTTTAATTGCTTAAAACCTCTTAAAGCAATTTTTCTAGTCATTAAACCAGTTATTGTTTCGACTTTCGTATAAAAATTATATTCTACTTTTAGTTTTACGAAAATGGTCACACTGCGGGGCGACGCTCTAAGACTATGGCCGTCGCGTTTTTAGATGTGATAAGTATATCTTTCCCGTGTTAATTTTTATCAATGTCCGAGGCCTGCTAATATTTTATGATAAGGGTTAACAACCTGTGTTACCGTATAGAGGAGTACCAACTGCTCGACAATAAAAGACTTTGTGCGGTCATACTGGTTTTAGTCCTTCTGTTTACTTCACTATCGCATACAGGCTAGTATAATAATCTTAATATGTAACATGTGAATCGATTAGCTATCAAAGGGGTTCAGTGCAAAATTTTTAACTTGTACTTGTTTAAATACCAATTTTTAAAATTTATTTTTTAACCAACAGCAAGAGTTTGCAGATCCTTCTATGTATACAGCCACAGAACATCATTTCCATGTGACTATTATCGCCATTATGGCCAAAACGAATAGGTACAACATTGTTTTTTGCGTGTTAAATGAAAAAAAATCTTTGAATATATTATTATTCGGAAAACAATTGCGGTTAATTATCGCCGGGCACGTCACGGACAATAATAATAATAATTATAATATGATCTGTGTGCGATACAAGTGTAACTGTGTGAGAGATGAAAAAGCCATATATATCATGCTGATTTCACTCTCCATGCTTTCTTCCCGTTAGACGGTGTGTGTGTGTGTGTGTGTGTATGTACAATAATAATAATAATAATAATAATATCATTTTCATATACAGGAGGACTTCTCCTGTCCGTCAGGTCCACACTGTTCCGGTCACAGTTGGATATTATTCGATTTCCTACATATTATATGTATAATATTATTTTAAAGTATGTGTGTGTGAGTGTGTGTGTGTGTATTGGATACTGTTGTGTACATAAAATATATAGGTACGACCAGAGGCTATATTATAGGGACTCTGATATAGGATATTGCCCGTATATAGAAAACATTGATTACATATGAAAATAATAAACAACAGCGCAGAGAGCGTTGTGTTCCACACAACACATCCATTCCGCATAGGTGGATGTTACGGTCTGCTGACAGACACCTCTACTAATAACGATAATAATGGACAAAAAGTCATACATGTCCGTTTGGTATATATGTATATGTATTATAATCTACCGGTTTACGTCACTTCCGACAAAAAGTAGATCCGGTATTTTGGCGAATCGGTTGTATTTTGTTGTTTTAATTGGAATTCGTGCACAGACCGTGTACAGAGTTCAGGGGACTGCTGGCAAAATAGATAATTTATGAATAACTAAATGGCACAAATGGCGCACAATATGACACATCAGCCCCGCCAAAGTTAAAGGTTTTGTGCAGAAAGTCAACATTTTGTTACAAAACGAGTTAAAAATTGAAATATTTAATTTACAACTAGTTCCAGGAGTAATTAAATTTCAAAAACCGGAAAACAATGATGTGTATTTTATGTAGTAAATATTACATTGCATTTATGAAGAGCTCATTATCTGTTGCGTTTACAGAGATTTTAGGAGAGACATGTCTTTCATTCAAACGTTTATTCACTACATTATGTCGGTTTTATTTATTCAAATTTAAAACAAAATTATCCATTTGAAAATCGGGCCAAGTGTTACCAGAGGCCAGAGGAAGTTACCTAAAGATTGCTAGCTTTAAGGGTGTCCATAAATAGTGTGGTTAAGCACAGCACAGGGAAATATTGAGCATCTTTGTTAGCTCACACCACCCGTATATGGTCGACTTTGTGTTTGCATATTATTTTGTCGGTTAACGGTTATTACAATATGTGTAGGAAGAAACCGCGGAGAAGCGCATTCAGAACACCGTCAAAGGCTTCTGGGAACGCTGTAATTAAAAAATAATTAAACGGCCCAACCCGTTGCCAAGACACAGTTTCGAATTTAACCCGTGCACAGGATAGTGTGAAATATAAAGAAAAAAATATTATAATAATAATTAACAGTTGGCCCCACTCGGTTAAAGATAGACTATGATGCGTTTAGCTCGGCCAACGATGTTTCTGTGTTTAGTTATTCCAACTAGAAATTTTGTTCAGTCTTGCCTAGATAGATAGTTTTTTTTTTATGACTTTTATGTTGTTATTATTATGTGTACAACTGCTGCAGACTGGTCTGTCGACTGGAAAACGCGAAATCAGGTTAAATATTATCGAATTTTGGCGCCCTATTAAACCGGTCTAGTTTGTTTTGTTTTGCACAGTACATGGTATATAGTAAATGGTTTTATTAAAATTCAAACGGGATGTTGTATAACTCTGCGCGGTCCATTGCGTTGAATCATTAAGGTTTTTTTTATCCGCAACAACCGTCCATTCCATATCAGAGGCTTATATTTTATTTAAAATTAAAACAATAATATATCTACAATGATTTATAGTTGTATACTATTCGACCGTTTGCAAAAGATATATAGATTAAAATATAATATATTTAACTTTTATGTATAACAAACTCGAGAGAAAAATGTATCAATTGAAAAGATGCAAAAACTTTCATTGGCGTTTAGCAAAAAAACCCAGTCGTTAAGTTTTCGAGTTTACCAAAGCAAAACCAAATACTTAAACATTTTTATGACTTTTTACAAAGTTTGGCGAAAAAAGGGACGAATGCCGCTTTTGGCCAAAATAAATAAAATTGACGACTTACCCGACCAAACTTTGGCCGTTGAGAATAGCTGTTGAAAAATCTGTTTATCCTTATAATTGTAAATCGATACCGAGAATTATAGTCAAAAGTTACATTTGTAAAAAATTATGAAAAACAATTTTCGTGCTAGCTTAAGTATAAACAAAATTGTGAGTTCATAAAAACGTTATAAAAATAGGATTTTTTTTTTGTTTATACAAAAAACAATAAATTGTTGTTGGACTCACCGAAAAGCGGTCCGTACGATTTGTCGGCCGGCACTATACAAGTCTTTAAAAACACTGCGCGACGAACAACAACAACAACAACAACAACAACGGACGACGACGACAAACACCACAACAACGATGAATGTTGTTATGAAAACAACAACAATATTATAATATGGAATATCGCCGGGGACGTGAACGCGCTACTCCGACACCGGTGTTTGCAGACCAATAAAGCGCGCCAGGTGATGTGTGCGCCGCACCGTCGGCCCGCATGTGTGTGTTGCCCACCGGAACGCGTCGCGTCCTGTCGCGCGGTATAGCGTTTCAAGGCCTGCCGCCGCCGCCGCGTGCCCCACACGCACACATGGCACCCTCCTACCGCCCCACTCTTGGGCCTTTGGCCCCCGCGGGTTTCTTCGAGTTTTGCAGGCCATTGGGCTGTATCGGGTGTGTAAGTTTTTTTAAAAAAGAAAAGGCCGGCCGTGTTGCTCGCGACACCCCACTCGCGACGGGTTCCGGTCCGCCGCACGCGCGCGCCAGCTGTGCACACAGGCCCTGTACGTGCGGTGTTTGTTGTCTAACGGTTGGCAACTTTTGGTCGGGCCCAGCGCGGGGGGCCGCCGCACGTTTAAAATTAAAATAATAATAATAATAAAACAGAAAAGGTGTTCCGACCGCGAAAACATATACAGCCGACGACACTGAACAGTTTTCCGTCGACAGTCGCGGGAATTTTTTTGTTGTATCTTAGCTCAGCTGTGTAAAGCCGAGCGTCCACTATATACAGGGTGATCAATTTAACACACGCACACACAATACATGTCTCTTAGAATAATTATATTTTTAATCTTGTAGATTTGCTTTATTAAACGTTTAAATATGATTATTCAAAACTGCGGTTATCGACCTGTTAGCACTGGCGGAGATCTGATGCGAATCTCTCGCTGAAAAATAAATTTAGGTATTTTGAAAAGCACCGATTTTTAGTATTTTTTATTATGCCAAGCCCCCCGCCAATGCCTGTAAACAAATTATAGTAAATCATTCTTAATTTAATGAGCCGGAACAAATTCGAATATTGTAAAATAACTAAAACGTTCTTCCAAAAAGAAAAACTATAAAAGTTTTATTAATTTTCAACCAAGACGACCAAGGTATGTGTTCGGTATAAGAGGAATTTTTTGTTTGTTTTACTATTGATATTAAAAGAGTAAATCTTACAAAAAAAATGTTGACTGATTTGAGTATATTCGGTCATTTTAGTATATTTAAAAACAGTTTTTAAGTGGCTAAAATATATGTATATATATCTTCAGCAACTATTTTAAAAGTTTGAAGAATTTAGTATTGTAAAAAATATACAATCTATTCTGTATTGTCTATCAGATGCCAGTTTGTCTTATGATATCAGATTCTCCTTTACACATAGCGTTTTCACAATAGCTTGAATAATGTTTACTTGTATATTCGGTTATGACGGACAAGTAGAAAATATTGTGAAAATAAATTGAAATACAGTTCAACAATTACACTATTAAATTAGACATTTTGCCGTTCAAGTGTACACTATAGTCTTATATATTCTTTTCAAGGGTTTGAAATCACATTTTAACCTTTAAATTAAGGTTTTGTAAAAAAAAAAAATTGCCCATACCTATTTGATGTTATACGATTGGGCTTTTGGTCTTGGAAGGTTGCCTTGGTGATTTTTTTTTTTTGCTTTTGCTATTAAGGACCATTGCTGCTTTAACGACCCATAAAATTTTACAGGGTAGTCGAGGGGGTGTAATGTTTGCCAAAACAGCCCTTAACACGTTTAACGGCAATCGGTTGTTTCCACCGCGACGAACCTCTTCACACACAACCCGCCCCTTTGATGGTATCTTTTTTTGTTGATTTATTTATTTTTTTATAGTACTTTATTATTCATAGCATCGACAATACCGATACCTACTCGTCGGCGGGTATGTGTCACGTTTTTATTCAAATCAAGTCTCGGTATGCCACATTTTTATTTATTTTTTTTTGCATCTTAGTAACGCGAAACACAGTCTACACGTCTTGCATTTCCGCACTTAGGCGTTTCCGTCTATACAATGTATTATAACAGTATAACCGAAGTCGTCTCGAATGACAATTGCACCCTAATGCAGTCCATAGGGACACAGGTATGTCTGAAACAAACACTGCTGTGCACACTTCTCCTCGAAAATAACAATAAAGCTACTATTAAACGAATATTTTGTTGTGTAAACATGTTTTGTCTATTAAACGGCCCTGTTCAATATATATGTTGTTTTAAAACACATACAGCCGGTTTCACCAACATTTGTTAAGAATTATGTTAATTATGTTCAACAACTAGTTGATGAAAATTTCATCGAGATTTGTTAGCCTTAACACATTGTTAAAAAATGATTGTTAAATGAATCACCCGAAATCGGCTTGTTAAAACGTATTGTAGTACTTATATATATAATATTTATATTAGTATAGTTCAGAAATTGTTTCATAATTTTTGTTGCATTATAGGTTCAAATATCATGATTTATTGTATTTTATAATATTAGTATGTCTTGCCTGTCCTGAGTATAACAATGGAAATAATTCTTATCACTACCTACTTTTTTTTGTAGGCCTTCAAAATAGAAAAAATTATTTTAACGACCTTGATGACAAATTATTTTTAGAAAGGTATAGACTATCTAAACAATGTGTTAAAAAATGATGTATAATTTATTTATATAAACCGAAACGTTAAAAGAAAGTAAAATAAAGTGTTAATTAATAACAAACTGACAAATTAAATTCAACAATCACTTATCAGTTAATAACCAATGAGAACATTGGAATCTAGGTAACCGCTTTGGTTACCCAAGTAACATTTCGGTAACTCTCAAATATAATTTAACAATACTAATGTTATGGTGAAACTTATTTCATTTAACTATATTGTAAATTTAAACGAATTGTGTACTAACGTTGTGTTAAGAGTGTATTTAACAATAGTTGGTGAAATCGACTGGTAGGATGCAAAGCTCAAAGCAAGAAAAGCATACATCTTATGAAGTGTTAAATTTTTATTTTTACACTGTCAATCTAAATGAGATTGCCATTCAAATGGATTCCAGTGGCCGGATTAATCTCTCTTTGGATATTGACCCATACTGTTTACTGATATACACATTATTGTCAAGCGAGGCAAATAATAATTGGAATTAAGAGATTATTCGATGGAGGTTCAAACTTTTTGGGTATCAAACTCTGTCAACTCCTTTCCCTTTGAAAACCTACCTGACTTAACCTTCGGGTTTTGACCAACTTGGATAATTATCGTGGCAAACGTGCTCTGTATATTATATTAATATATACGCAGACCAGTAGGCGACGACGGTCGTTAAGCAAACAAAATGTACTTTTCCCTAAGTACAAGATTTTGCGCGTTGCGAATTCATCTTTTTTTTTTTTTTTGTTCTGTAACTTGTCAGTCGATGTGTGTGTGTGTGCAATTAAGCAGACTGAACAAAAAATAAATCATTGACGTCAGGCATATCAGAACAATAATTATCCGTATGCATAATATATGTACTAAGAAAAAGCGCACAAGGCCGAAGTCGTGTCGCGAACGCGGTTATATAATAATACCGCGTTAATTGCTTGACTTAAGACAATAATAGAGTTGCTATAATATATTCTGAATATGCTCCTCCCAATAGTTGTAACGCGAAAAACAAAACAGTTTAAATCGTATAACTGCATTGTGTAAATCGTGGTAGTGTAATATACACACAAAAAAAAAGGTCTACAGGGTGATCTGATTTCATAGTGAACCACTCAATATCTTATAGAAGTTCCAATAGTTTAGGACAGGAGGAAATGTGTAGTGTAGTATTTAATTGTTGAGAGGCTGATAAAAACCAAAAAAAAAATTGTGAAAAATTGAGATCACATTGTATACAGTGTGTTCCAGCATGAAAAGTAAGTAATAGGTGATTTTTCCATTAGTCAAAAATTTAAGGTTTCGACAGTTAAGTAAAAAAATAATGACCATACAATTTTTCCCAGTTAATTAGTGCAAAAAGTTCACCTTAAAAGATGGGTCACATCATTTTCAGTCCTTTTCGGCCCCTTACTCAAAAAATGATAAGAGGAAAATGATTAGAGACAAGAAATAAGAAATAAATGATAAGTGATAAAAGATAAACGTCAAGAGATATTGATAAGAGATAGGTGATAAATGATAAGAGATTAGAGACAAATAATTAGAAACAATAGATAATAAATAAATGATAAGATATTAGTGATAAGAGATAAATGATTAGAGACTAGAGATAAGAAATAAATGATAAGAGGGATATGACCCCTCTTTTAAGGTGAGCTTTTTCCACTAAATAGTGACTTTATGTATTCTGTTTTCCTTTTCAATTTATAAAACACTTTGAAGAACAGCAAAAATAGTGAAAATTTGTTGTCGATAAATGTCAATAAAATTATTGATGGTTTTTGTGGTTTTCTTTTGTCATGTCATTTATATTATATATTGACGTCCATGACTCTTGTAATTTTTTTCCTTTCTTTCTAAAGCTCTGCAATTGGCAAAGAAGTAATCAATTTTGTAACCTTCAGTATACCTAAGCACGCGTACTCGGGACGCTTTCGTTGACCCACTTGACGATTTTTCCAAGTAGTTCTATTTTCCAAAAAAATGCACACCGTTCGCAGATTATCTGTGTAAAGCTTATATATAAATGAAAACGTTGAACTTTATAACAAAACATAAATAATCTACATGGCTCGGAATGAACGATAAGGGCGACATAATCAAATTCAACTGGCACAACAGCTAAATCACCACACATAGTTCCACGACCGCCTACTATATTATAATGCTGTGCTGTTAATAAATGCTAATTTCCAGATGTCATAAATCATTCGAATGGTGTTCAAAAGTCGTTTGTTGTTGCTCTGACGTTGTACGTGCCTTTTGAATACACATACACATGTCTACCGAAAGTTCACCAATGTTTCTTGTATGGTTAATACAAATTTTATTAAAAAAAAAAATATGAAAAATTGAAATCATAGTGTACAAAAACAATATAGCAGCCCATACTTACTCGTTGTGCTTATAATTTTTAGTAGGTACATTTTATTTTTATAATAGAAAAAAAAATCACATAGTAATGCAGCAAACACACTGAACTACATTGAACGACCATAAAAAAAGAAAAACAATTTTGCAAACGTTATAACATATAAATATTTCAATATAAAAAGG